AGGATAAGTACCCGACAAAAGGTGTAATTGACCGAAGATTGTACAGGAATCATTTTAATTTGATTGGTCAATAAAGATCTCCGATATCCGTTTCTTCTTGTACTTACTGTTCTAAACAAATTGGTCTCGGTTGGTTTGCAATCAGGATCCAAAATTTGTTGTATATTAATTTGTTTAACACGCTGACATTAAAGAAAACAGTCTTAATGGTAGTATATCTAAAACATAATGAAAGATAAAGATAAAGTTTAATTGTACGAAATATACTTACTTTGTTGACTTCATGAATATTCGACATGCATAACAAATTGTTAGAATCAGCTTCTGCATATTCTCCATTGCAAGCATTTCTAGTTGACTACGATAATTCACAAAATGAAGTACGTTCTTTTATCAGTTTTATCTTTAATTTTACGAGTAAAACACGAAAGACATGATGAAGAAATTTTTGCATTACCTCAAATAATTCCTTGGATATAAGTGCCATACGATACGCATATTCAAGCCTGGAGTCTATATCACCAGTTTTATCTGTCAATGGGTTTCCTGCCATATATCCCTATGGTTTTGCACCATCAATGTCCTTAGCTTGGTATGGTCTTCCACATCTAATGCAAGAAACTTATTTAAAAACCATTATTTGTCTCGCATAATTTACTTACTTTAACGTTTACCATCGGTTCTAATCCTTCATCGTTACCTGTGAAAAGAAAGAAAATTGAATTAGATCCTTTTATTCTTTTTCCTTCATAAAATTTTGTTTATGGGTGAACTTTGTTATAACATTAAAGGTTGTACAAATTGAAGAACGAAATAGCAAAAAATATATTATACCTTTGTACAACTTTTCGGTGATGATCGGAATAACAATACCAGAATAAGAAATTCCAGTAACATACATAGGATTGTTTAAAAACTTCGGATGATTCCTAACAAACTGCATTAATGGTACATGAATGTCAATAAACGAACTTACTCAATAGGTATATATTAAACTTCCACTAACCTTCCTTATGAATTCAACTGTCTGTGATGCCGATAACATATCACTCGAACGAATAGCTTCTGAGGTTTTTGTATATGAATATCCGGTTAATGTGGGTGCATCCAAATATATCACATTAGCCACCTTTAAAATCCCATAGGGTATACATGTAATTCATTATAAGATAATATATCAAAACCAATTATCTAACTCAACAATACATTTCATATGAAAGCAGATTAATTATTTGAGTTAGGCGCGCAACATACCTTCGTCCAAGAATTCGGGTCCAATCGTAATGCTGGGACGTTATCACTATAATTACCATACAGAAATTGCATTGGACCTATACAAGAATGTGAATTCAATAACATATATTCAATACATTATACGGACATTATCCAAAAAATTCCATTCAAACCGTTCTATATATACATACGTACATATATAAGGGCGAAAGAGAGAGATCTAGGGGAAGGATCGTATGAAAAGTTGTTCAACTTACAAAAATACAATAAGTTTCAAGATCACAAATGCAAACCAAGCCATTTATACAAACTTTATTCAACCAATCATATTTTTTCTTTTTTTTTCAATTATTTAAATTATGATGATTGATGGTGGAGTGCGTTAATTATGGACATTGTCATTTTCATTATATTAATTTTAGAAAACAAATTTCATCAAGATGAGAAACAGATGAAACAATTTCATTTTAACATAGAAACAAAAATATATGAAACAATTTTATCAAGAAAAGAATTATATGAAATAATTTCATCATATTAAACAACTTTATGAAACAATTTCATTAAATTAAAGAATAAAAGCAACTCTTTATACAAACAACTTGGTTTGTATTTGATACATCCTATATACATATATATAGGAGGTTTACTTTGCAAACCACGTTATTTGTACAAACCGTACAAACTGCATTCAATCAATTATAATTTTTTATTTTGTTTATTTTTTAATAATTATGAAAAGTTGATTAATCATTTTTATTATGGAAGGTGTTAATCATAGATATTATCATCTTCATTATATTAATTTTAGAAAAATACATAAAACAGTTTCATTAAAATTTCATAAGTATTATATGAAACCATTTCATAACTATATATGAAACAGCTTCATCAAAAAAGTATTATTTGAAACAGTTTCATAAGATTAAACAATGAAATCAACAGATGAGATTGGTTTGCACGATTTGTATAAATATAGGTGATTTGCATCGCTCATCTCTCTATATATAAGGATCTCTTTAATAACCTTTTTCTGGGCACAACCCATGTGCATGCATCTTTCCATTCTTGTGTACCCGTAGAATGTGGCGAAAGCCGTGAATTTTAATGATTTTGAAGTTTTAATGGTTTTATTAGAGAAGATTAAATGATGATATAAGTTACGTTTGGTCTTTAATAACCATTTTTTGTGCAAAACCCATGTACATGTATCTTTCTATTCTTTTGTGCAAAAACATGCATCATTCATAGTCATAATAACTTTTTATTCAGATAAAAAGTTGATTATCAATCGAATCTATATAAAATCTGTCTTTAACACTAATATAAAAATATATTTTTTTTCTTACACAACTGACTGAGAGTAGAATTTATTGAACTTAAATTTATAAACTTAAAAAGTACATGTACACAACTAACAATTTATTAAACTTAAATTTTGTAGTTGAACAAAACAATATAATTTAATAAAAACAATTTATGGCCAGCTTTGCCAACTCGCATTGGAAATGGCCTTTAGTATTTTCAAGAATGGTGTACGTGGTAAGACCACATCGATTGCAAGACCATATGTAAGGACCTCGAATGGATGCCAAAACTTATACGTGGCACCGCTAAACTAATTAATTGGATGTATCAGAGAATTACGCTTGTGACGTAATCATTTCAAAAACAAGAGACACAATGTAAAGTTTTTATGATTGCTTATAAAAATAACTTATTTTTTTTTTGGTATTACATTGATAATAAATATTTTTAAGTGTTTGGAATAAATAATTTATACTGGTATATATTAATATACTTTTTACTAAAGATTTTGTGTGTGGTAGCTTGTATAGCGGCAAAATTCAGTTTCTGTGTCGAAGTTCAACGAATTAGTTGATCGAAATACTGAATGTTTTTGT